ATATATATATATATATATATATATATAAATCTAAAATAAATGAGGGCTTTCTAAAAGGCATTTGTATCTTAACGCGGGATTATCCCTTCCACATCACAGATTTGACGTCCAAGAGTATCCTATATCCGTAAAATATTTAATTATTATTTTAATAAACAATTATGTTTAACATTATTTTAGGGGTGGGGGAGAATGCTAGTTTAAGACGTCATGAAATGCAAAGTTATATATTCATCTATGAGAAGAAAGACTGTAACATTACATTATTCATGGTAATTTCTTTGAATTAACCTTATGCTGTTGCCATGTAACAAGTTGGCTCCCTTATGGAACATTTCATTTCATGTCAGCTAGATGTACAATCATCTCACAACTTCGTTATAGCATAGTCCAATGCATCCACAAGAAAATCTGCACACGAGGATGACAGTCGGTGAAATATGATTTTGCTACGTGAATGCTCCAAAATAAACTATAGAACCTGAATTTCAGTTGAGAGAGAAAGGAAAGAACTATACCTGCATCGTCTTCGGTGAAACACATTGGTGGCTTAATCCTGAAAACATTTCCATGCAGTCCTCCTTTTCCAACTAGAACACCAAGCTCTTCAATGCATATATACATGAATAACTTGTTAGACTATTCTGTTTGGAAGATATTTTGGAAAAGACGGTTTCAAATGCATGTAATGATTCTTGTCTTACCTCTAAGTTTTTCGAACAAAACAGCAGTTTCAGCCTTTGCAGGTGTCTTCTCTTTTCGATCAGTAACCAACTCTACCCCCACCATTAAGCCTCTTCCCCTCACATTTCCTATGACTGCCACATTATATTATATAATAATAATGAGAATGAGAATAATCAACCAAAATTATAGAAACTATGTTGAGGATGTTATTTTCAAGAGGACATACTATCATGTCTTTGCATAAGTGATCTCAAACGGTCAAGCAAGTGAGAACCAACATGAGCACAATGAGCTTGACGCTTCTCCTTATCAAGAACCCTTAGCACTGCAAGTCCCCCAGCAGAACAAACAGGGTTCCCACCAAACGTATTTAATTGAAGCTTCTGGGTCATCACACTTGCTATTTCTGGAGTTGTAACTACAGCTCCTAATGGCAAACCATTTCCAATACCCTGATGCAATTTAACATGAGATATGATGGAGTCGTAGCATAAGATATGAAAATTAAAAAGTTAGGAGTGAACAAAATAAATTCTATAATGAAATAAATGGGGCCGAAAATTATATACTTTAATAAAAAAGATAAAATGCAATAAAAATAAGTCATATACCGATAGTATAAAGAAATTTTATACCATTTTTCAATCACAAACCATTATGTATAATTTACAGTTTTATATTAAAATTCATACTAGCAATTATTTTTGATTGGTTGACAGTATACTAACGATGCACCATCGTTAAACTGTAAAATGTAATGCTGATGCATAATGGACCTCACAAGATGCAAATAATGTTGAACTTCAAATGCATGATTAAGGTATCAACATTCGAGGAAGTAGTAAAAGAAAAGATGAGATGATGGTATAGACCTTTGCCATGGTAACAATATCAGGAATGACACCCTGTGTCTCAAATCCCCAATAGTGGCTTCCTGTTCGACCAAACCCAGTTTGCACTTCATCAGAGATGCAGACACCACCAGCCTTATGTACAATGTCATAAACAAGTTTTAAGTACCCAGGTGCCAGTTCAACTGCTCCTCCAACTCCCTAGAATAAGCCATGAAGAAAAAGTGAACAACACCACCACCAGAAAAAAAAAAAAAAAAAGGTAATGCGATGTTGTAAATGCCACTTAAAATGATTGATTATACATACCTGAATTGTTTCAGCTATGAATCCGGCAACTTTTCCTGAAGTTCCATAGTCAATATGATCTTCGACATCTTTCGCATAACTAAGAGCATCTGCACCGAAGACTCCACGATATGGATCTGGATTCATAACGTGATGAACATTGCCCTAAACAGTTTAAACATTTATAAGAATATTTGTATTGCACCATCTTTAATAAAATAATATAAATGATAACCACATTCACAATGGTATAATTATAATTAATTAGACTAGCTCGGCTTAGTACTTTGCAAATATCTTTTAAAAGTGTGATTGAATTCCATATATACACGTGAGATTAGTTATTAATCGGTAGTTTTAAGATATGAACCAAATTTATTAACTAAAAAAAATATTATGATTAAGTATATGACAGACAGACCTCTGGAATTGGGTATTTCCACGTGTTCACAGCAGTGAGGCCAAGCGCACCAGAACTCCCCCCATGATATGCATTTCTCAAAGAAATCATACCAAGATTACCAGTATATAAACGGGCCATCAACATTGCTAATTCATTTGCTTCTGAACCAGAATTTAAAAAATAAACAACCTGCAATTGAAAATTATGTTTTAGAAGGTCAACAATTAGGATCCGCATGAATGAAATCTTATCTAGCACATCATAAAAATGAACATCGCATTTCTCCAAGAATGCATGAGATGAACTCATTCACCAAAAACTTATTCACAAAAATTAATAACATGGGGAACCTCACTGTTATTTTTGGGTGAACCAAGACTATTCCCCACCAATAGTCAAGGATCAATCCTTAGAAATACTAAGATTTATTCAAAGAATTGAATTCACTCGAGATATACTTTTTCATATACACACAAACTTTAAAATCAAACCCCTTACCAGTTACCACATGCTCAAGATTGGCGAGTTTGCCTTGGATAGGGTTGTTAACGGTTCGGTTTTCTAACCAAAACATTTATATAAAAATGATTTGGTTAACCAAATTATTTATATTTTAAGTAGATCATCAGTTAAATTTTTTTCTTTTCAAAATATATCGGTATTTTTTTTCTTTTCATAATAGATCCGTTCGCTATAATTCAATTATCCACTTTATAGTCTTATATGGTACTGTAATGTTAAGGTATATCAAGGCACTTAAAGGAGTGAGTGAAAGATATATTGTGTGAACATAAAAAATCAGACCTTAAGGTTTCCAGGCATTTTTGATGCCAAAGCCTCAGCATAGTCAGCTATTGCATGGTTTAGATATATGGTTGTAGTATGCTGCAGAAGTTTACTCTGCTCTATGATAGCATCCAAAACTTGAGGATGGCAATGTCCGCAAGAAACAGTAACTATCCCCGCAAATGCATCAAGGTAACGCCTCCCACTCTCATCAAAAAGATATTGCATCTTCCCCTCCACAATGTTCACCTATATACACATCCAAAATTTGAACCACGCATTGTTAACGAACAACGCCTTAAAACACAAAAGAAATAGAAACATTAGTTTCCAAAATCCACACCGAAGCGTCTGACAAACACTACAAATCCACGTGACACGAAAATAAACGAGTAACGGAAACAGAAAAGGCTTCGAGGATGTTAAGGTGGCTGGCGTGGATTTCGGAGACTCACAGGTTTCTGATAGTAATGCAGAAGAGAAGGAGCGAGGAAGGTTTTGCGCTTGGCGAGGACTTCATCGGTGGAAGGTCCGTTATAGGGGCGAGGCTGGTGATCGAACGGCGGAAGCTGCGGCGGCGGCGCGATGATATCGGCGGCGGGAGCGAGGGAGGAAAAGAAGGCGCGGTTGGCGATTGGAAGGGTTCTCTTGAGTGGTGTCTGCATTGTTGTGGGCATGGTCCGTTATAGGAAGTGAAAGGGTTTATATATTGTGATTTGTGAGTGTGAGAAAGGACGATGAGGTTAAAATGGTTGCGTTTTATTTTGGGTGCCTTCGGTGGAGAGGAATCTACGTACACTCACGTGAAAGTAAAAGAATCCAATCAAATATCGTAAACTCTTACAAGGATTCATCACTACTTTCTTACTTTGCTAAACAAAAATCAGGATTTCGAATCATCTACCTTATTCTGGAATTTTAAATCATAATTTGTATTCAATCTTAAAATCCCCATACATTAAAAAACTACTTCAAATATAATATGTAGATGATGGATTTAGGTGGTGAAGAGTAAAATACACTTCCTATTGTTAATCAAGAAAGAATTGTGATAAAATAGTAAGAAAAATAATTTTAAAGAATAACATAAACTCATAATTATTGATAAAAAAAATTAATAATCGATAATCATGATAAAATCAAATGTATATATAATAAAATCTAATATTAATTATAAATTTTTTATTAATTTTTTAATTAATGATTATTATTACACTTTATCTTCTAAAATAACTTTTTTAGAAAAATCAAATCCTTATAAATTATTATAACACTTTATCTCCTAAAATAAAATCCTTTTCCTTTAAAAGAATCAAATCTGTAACTGATATATAGTGTTTATGTAAAATAAAATTGTTATAAATGGATAAAAATAAATTAAGCAAAAGTCTTGCATAACAAAACTACTACTAATTATATATAAGTTTCTGAAACTTTTATAGCTGAAATATGTTTTAAATCCAAGCTATAAATATAAAAGTACACGATCAAAGAGATAAAAGATTAAAATGACATTAAAATAAATATGAAAATAATATATTTAAAGAAATAAAAGGTTAAAAATATTAAAACAAATATAAAAATATTCATTCGGATATTGTTTGAATTTTTAAAATAAAACATATTTTATTTTGATATTCAATTATTATTTATTATTATCATTGTTGGTTTAGGGTTTATGTAGTGTTTAAATGGATAAAAATAACTTAAGCAAAAGTCTTGCATAACAAAACTACTACTAATTATATATAAGTTTGTGAAACTTTTATAGCTGAAATATGTTTTAAATCCAAGCTATAAATATAAAAGTATACGATCAAAGAGATAAAAGATTAAAATGACATTAAAATAAATATATAAAAAAATATTTAAAGAAATAAAAGGTTAAAAATATTAAAAAATATATAAAAATATTCATTCGGATATTGTTTGAATTTTTAAAATAAAACATATTTTATTTTGATATTCAATTATTATTTATTATTATCATTGTTGGTTTAAAATAATTGTTTGTTCCTTTATATAAGATCTAATTCATAATATTTGATGTATTAATTATTTTTAGACTAAAATACTCCTAATTAAAACATGTTCTATTAATTTGATGAAATATATTGATTTATACTCTTTATAAAACATGCATTTTAATTGATTAGGAGAACAAACAGAACTAATTATGAGAGAAAAATAGTATAGGAGATACATTCTAATTGGCGAGGTAAATATTAATTACGAGAGAAAAGCAGTATAAGGTAATTTTAGAAAGAAAAAAAAAAGAATAAATTTATTATTATCAATTAGATTAATTATTTTTCTTAATCATGATGAATTAAGTATTTGAGTCTATATATGAATGTAGAGATAGTATAAATAATAAATCATTCACGTGATATAAACGTCTAGAAAGTGAAGTTCACATCTTTATAAGATAAAAACATTCAAATGAGAATAAATGTAAGAAAGAATAAAAAAAAATGAAGGATTTACAAAGTTGAGAATTAGTCTAATTTTTTATATATATAAAGAGTAATATAATTATCAAGTTGTGTAAATTAATTTTAATAATATATCAAAGAGATTAGTTATTGATTTTAATCTTGTATGGGGTCGTGTCTTGTAATAATTTTAACTTTTCTTTATTAAAAACATATAGGAATGATTTATAAATGAAATATTTAATATTTTAAGTTTTTTTTAATCATGTTTATTATACACTAATATTTATATAATAATTTCTTTAAATAAAAATAAAACTAAACTAAAATAGAAAAATTCAAACTGCTTTTAATTGGATTGAATTTAAATTTTAAATCAATCTGATTTATGATGAATTAAAAAAAATGGAAGTGATTAATCAAATGATTTTTCTCTTGAAAATTAATCTAATCTAACATGCAAATAATCATACTATCATTTCAATAACTTTACGAATAGCCCTACTATTATTTTAATAACTTTACACAATATATTAACTAAATTTCTGTGAAAAAAAAAACTTGTTAAATATACTTAACCATTTGTGTCATAAATACATATTGAGAATTATGTTCATATTTTTATTTATTTTTTAATATGCGAGATAAAGTTAATTATTGGTACGATGCTATCAAAAATAAAGTAATAATTGTATACAAGCATTTATATCCTTAACTATCGACCAAAAAATCAATAACATTCCAAATTTATATATAAGAAACAAATTAAATGAAAGTATACATAGTTTTCAAACATTAACTAATTAAATTAAATAATTAAATGATGAGAGTGATAATTGGTTTTTAAAATATTAAAGACGATTTTGAAAATAAATTCAAATTATTCACATATTTAATATTACTAACTAAATTAGTTTTAAGAGTCGTATGTATATCTTATGTATGGGAAAAAAAAAATAATTTGACATTGATACATTGACTTCAAATTTGCAATAATACATAACATATATGATCCAATGTGCTTTTATACATGTCAAACTACTGCTCAATGCTTAAAATATTCGTCTTCATTCCCAAATGCAAATATGCAACAAAGAAAAGTGTTATTAGTTTATATATATATATATATATATATATATTGATCTGGGATAATATGTATAAATATTTATGATTGTTGAATAGTTGAGGTGTTGACATCGAGGATGCTTTAAGCATTTAAGCATGATATGTTTATGATTATTGAA